AAGCCTGCATGACTGTGTGAGATCCTGTCTCCAAAGAAAACAAGAGTGCTCGGAGTTGTCACTCAGTAGTAGAGCACATGGGAGGTCCAAAGCTCATCTCTCCAAAACAAGAGACAGCCATAATCAGTTAAGATCTTTGTGTAGCCTGATGAGGCCATGATACTACAATAAAATGAGAAGAGACATGAACAGTTTAGTTCTCAGAAGCAATGTGATAGCAGCAAGTATGGGAAACCACAGCAGAACCCATGTGCAAGGAAGGTACTGTTGTGTGTGTGTGTCAAGGTGGGGACAAGAGACAGGCTAATAGCACACTCTGATGGCATTGAGGGGTTTAACACCTTCGGGCCTCAGTTTCTCTACATAAAATAGGGCTAATAATACACCTCAATTCTGTTTTTTCAAGACAGTTTTGTTTGTTTGTTTTGTTTTGTTAGCCCTGGCTGTCCTAGAACTAGCTCTGTAGACCAGGCTAGCCTTGAACTCACAGAGTACCATTGCCTCCTGACTGCTGGGATTAGAGGTGTGTGCTACCACCACCTAGCTATACCTTAACTCTTAATTAGTGTAAAGATGGAATGAGTTACTAAAGGCATTTGGAATGATGCCCAGCACAGAGTAATGGTGGCATCCATGATGGCTCACTGTTCTGTGATATAGGCACAGAGCCCTGTGCCAATCCAAGAGCCCTGTGCCCATTCAAGAGCCCTGTGCCCATCCAAGCTCACTCACATGCTTAGGAAGATGTTCAGCATAGCAACATTTGCTATGACAAAACTGAATTACTTTGAATGACATTGACATTCAACAGATAAATACATTTTTGTACCTGTACAATATGGACTAATTGTTAAAAACCACTCACATCAGCCAGTGAGATGGCTCATTGGGTACAGAGGCCTGTTGCCAAGCCTGACTACCTGAATTTGACCACTGGGATTTCCGTAGTAGGAAGAGAGAACTCCTGCAAGCTGTTCTCTGACCAATACACACACACACACACACACACACACACACACACACACACACACACACTAAATAAATAAATGTAACAAAATTTACAAAAACATGCACGATCTGGGGCACCAATATGATCTATAAACATAGACCCAACATGTGCATTTGCATAATATGCCCAGAGCAAGATGGAGAGGTGGATTAGCTGATCATGGAGCTTTGGATTAAACTGAGACCTACCTCAATAAATATGGTGGGAAGTGAAGTAAAAAGATGTTTGATGTCAACTGTCAATCTCTGGCCTTCACACTCCTATGTACATACACATGCACACTACACACATACACATGCACACCACACACATGCACATGACACCACAGACATACACATGTACACCACACATACACATGTTCACCACACACATACATATGCATATGCAAAAAGTAAAATAAATTAAAAAAAAACTGTTATCAAAGGAGACCACCAGGCATGGAGACAGGGTTGGGAGAGTGTCTATGGAAGACTTCATCAAATAAAGTATTTTCTTTTTAAGTAAACATGCACTGTTTTGAAAAAATGCTTAAAAATTTTTATGAAATCATGATCACTTAGAATAATCCAAAATAGACACAGGAACAATGGAAAACCAAAAGAAAGTTGTGACATTAATTATTTATCTTGTGGCTTTATTTTCCTGGAAGTGAAAATTGCAAAGGATCCAGCCCTTCTGAGAATGTCAGCTTAGTCACGGGCTCTCAAGTTCTTAAACATGGCCTAAGAATGTCAAAATCAGACATCTTTCAATGAGAAACATTCTGCAATAAGTGTCTCAATTCCTTGTTTCCACTCTATATCATATTTTGGAAGTTCTGCCTCCCTGGGAAGGTAATGTGTGCAAATTTAAAACATGGCCCTTCAGTATTACTTAGCTGACATAAACAAATTAAAATAAGGCCAGCCTAAGCCAGTTGTGTTTATCAACCTGATCCCCTCTGAAAATGAGAGGTGAAGTCAAATGCCCTTTAATACTATTTATTAGTGGAGTAATAGAATACATTTTGACAAGTTGAGCAGCTTTAACAGGCAGCTGTTAAAGTCTCTACAGGGCCTGTTTAGAATGAAATGGGAGTGAGAGACAGTCCTGTAACTGGCTCTACGAACAGCTCAGCCATCAACTCTATCCTAACCAAGTACTTTTTATCCAGCTAATTTACGGAGTGAGTCCCTCAGGGTCTCCAGCGTCTAGCAGTGCAGCTCATTAGAGCCCATAGCCAACTTTTCTCATTGTAGCCCAGAAAGCATGTGTGCTTAAAATATAATTAAATGGCAAACAAACAAGATCCTTAGTCGCTGACAGTCTCAGGATTTGTAAATTGACAGAGGCACGGACTTCTATGCGATTATTTAGAAAGCAGGATGAATTCCAGCCACTTATGGCAAGACATTTGCCCAACCGTTCATCCTGCATGCAATTAGGACGCTAAAGACTTGGGCTACGAGTTCCTCGCGGGAATTAAACTTGCAGGTCTCTTACAAACGCATAATGTGGTAAGACTTGCTGTCCAATGAGGTGTCTTATTGAAATGTCCCAGGCCGTTTCGCTTGTCACAGCTGTCCTTTCAGCCGCTTGCACTCACAGTGCATAGCTTTCATTACGAAAATAGAAATTTGTGTCCTAAGTGCTGTTACATTACTAATGCTAAATATTTAATTCCCCGGGGTTCCAATTATGGTTGAGCGCTGGCAACACTGATTCCGCTCTCTAATAACAACTGTAAAGGCAATTGGAGCATTTTTCAATTAATTAAATACATAGTGAACGAGTAACCTCTTGTCATTTTGCCCTCCAGGACCTGAGCTAATTGCTGTAGAATAAAATGTTTTGAAAATTAACTGATATTCTGGGCTGCACACAGTTATACCATTAAATTACAGTTTGCACAGTGAAGTTTGTCTTCTGATAGTTTCACTCCATGGTCTGCAGCTGTGAGAACGTACCTGGTATTATGGGCTTAGCAGGGCCTCCAATTAGGGCTAAGTTGAAAGCGAGCATGGCCTTTCAGAACCCATCAGCAGCAATGATAGTTTGCGCTGCTCCCAGATGAGTGGACGGATTTCCACCAGAAAGTTCCCCAGACTTCACAACAAGCATTTACTATCCATCCAGCTTCAGCATTCTGAAGTGTGCTCAAAAGAATCCCTATCACTAATTATAGTCACACACAAAAGCTCAAAACTAAAGTTTTTGATTTTTTTATTTTCCCACATGAGAAAGTTGCTAATTGAATGTTTGGGAAAGGCCACCTTTTTGAGATACTTTCTTGCAGTTTCTTGTTTCACCCTAGAACAACATCATAAATAAGCCCCAAATTGCTGTCTCAGCTGAGGAGGATGAATCATAAAAGCAGACGCCACATTTAAAATAAACCTTTTTCTGAAGTACAATGAAATTTGATTAAAGAGCTGGTCTCCTTGTAGCGAACGTCGCTGACAGGTGTTCCTTAGCACCGGCTCTTGATTGGTCGTAATCTGAAATCCATGCTGGGAAGCGGATGCCCCCTTGCAGCTGTCTGTCTAGCAGGGATGATCCCCTAAACAGGTTTCACTGAATTCGTCTCCACAGAAGCACTCCAGCTCGGGAAGGAAGCACTGCAAGTGAAATTAATCACTCTGGGAGAGAGGGAAGAAATAATAGAGAAAATTTAATCATTTCCATACCAATCTTTAGGGTTTAAATCTTTAATATTTCTAAGATTATAGTAACATCTTTGAGAAATGAATCTTAATTACAGGATTAGCATGGAAGTACCAGTCAGTTAATATAAATAGATCAGCCTAAATTGCTGATCTCTTTTAGACTAAAGTGGATAATGAGGACTTTTTAGAATTCTGAGGTTGAGTTGACTTCTCAAGTACTAATGCCAAGATCATTGGAAAACACGCATGGCCACATAGAGAAGAAAAATATAAATTCTCTGAAGGTTTATTGAAATATTAATCCATATGGAGTGTAACATCTTAATAGACCACTAGCTTAATATAGTTGTCATTAACAATTCCTTTTTTGCTGTTGGGGATCCTCAACCACTCTTAACATGATAAACCACTGACTATGTCAATGACGACTTGTTGAGCTGGTTCAGTGGGTAAAGGTGTTTGCTGCCATGCCTGTGACCTGGGTTCAGTCTCTGGGTCCCAAATGGTAGAAGGTGAGAACTGACCCCAACAAGTTGTTCTACATTCCAGCTATGGCGTGTATACATGCACACACGTGAACATAAATAAGTAATATCAAATCTAGATATACAAATAATTAATTACCAAAGGTATGGATGTTTTCCAGACCCTCAAAACTATATTTTTAAACTGAAAAGTAAAGAGGATTTGCACTTTCAATATAAGTGGTTCAGATACTGTTTGTATTGAGAAGCACATGAGGAACTGGGATGTAGCTCAGTAAGTTCCTGTCTAGTGTGTGTGAGAAAGAAAAGGATTGAATTTTGTTCCCAAAGGCTCATGTTCCTAGTTTTGAAAAACAGTCATTTTACTAACTGACTAATACTCTGTGGCTAAGACTGAGTGTGGTGGCATACACCTATGATCCCAGCATTTGGGAGATGGAGGCAGGAGGGTCTCAAATTAAAGGCCAGCTGGGACTGCACAGGGAGATGCTGTCTCAGACAATAACAAATAAGCAAATATATGGTCCACACAAATTAAACCTAATTTTCTAAAAATACTGTGACTACAGTAATCATTAAAGCCTGTGTACTTAGTACCAATGTTCCCAAGTTAGTGGGCCCAGCTGGCCAGTTGGAGTCAGTCACTAGATGCCACAGGAACAGTCTTCATCACTGTCCGGCCACATCTCCCGCTAGGATCACATGCTCTTGGATCAAGTGCCCTCTCTCTCGTCCCTCATAGCATACCACACGTGCAGAGGGGCCGGCAGCCCAACCACACAGTCCTAACTAGGTCTTACCTGTTATCCAACCACACTCTGACCATGGGCTCTGAGAGAAGAGGATCCAGGTCTACCTGAAGCTGCTAACTGGTTTGACCTGGGTCCAACCTCTTGATGCTTAGCCTCCTCTGGTCTCCCGGCTCAGAGAAGGGACAGCTTAACTCCTCAGTGTCTGAAGACTTGAGGAGACAGGTCACCAAAGACTTGTGTGTAATGCATCCATATCAGTGTGCACAGCAGAGAGAAAAATCAGAGCTACTATGGACCTTGCAAGAGCTTTTTAAGAATTAAAGCTTTATCTTTAGTCCCCAAAGAGTACAAGCCAAAAGCAGGTCTGTTTGACATTTGCAAGTGAAGGACCAGAGCTGAGGATGTGCTCACTGGTGAAGTGCCTGCCCAGCATGCCCAAGGTCCTCTGTTCCATTGCCAGCTCCACAAAGAAAGATAATGGAGAATTGGCAAGACAAATAAAGGCATTGTTTAATACACTGAACTTCTGATATAGCCTGTTTCAAAGCTGACTTTCTTATTCTAGAGTGTGTTCCCCATGTCTGAGGCTTAAACTCCAGAGTTCCCCTCCCCTGGTTAGAATGAGTCTTGCAGGAAGCTATGGGACCTCAATGACTGGAAAGGAGGAGCCAGGGCAAGTTCCCATCCTGACACTTGAGTGGGAAAAACAAAACAATAACTCACAGAACTGAATGCTGGTCTTTAGCTCGATGCTTCCAAGTGACCATTCCACATCAGTCTAGTTCTGTCACCTGGTCTCCAAGCCCACAAAGCCCAGGGCAGAGGAGATCTACAGGCAGGGCCAGGAGAAATACCCCTGCCAGCAATGGAGGGCACAGAAGCAGTTTAAGAAATGTCAGAAAGAATTAAAACAAAAATGATATCAAGTCCTCTAAGGAGAACCGAGCTTTACAGTCCGGCTTGCACTGATGACCCTGAGTTGGCATCAACACCTCGTGAGACCCTACCTATTTCAGAGGTAGATAGGCTCCTTTAGCAAGATCTCTAATAAATACCAACAGCCACTGTTAATTCTTAAGACTTGGCTATTCTGAAAACCCTCTCCCTGAGGGCTGCAGATCATAGTGGCTTGGCGTACTTAGATAGTTTTATGGTTAATGCACTGCAGTATAAATAAATATAGCTTAGTGTAAGCACCTCTGCTGAAAATATATATGCCATAAAATGACAAATAAAATAGGTCAATAACTAAGCCCATAGTAAATAGCTCAGGCATAACATTAGCATTAACTAAGATAAACCCGCCTTCTTCGAAACTGATGATAAATTTATTCACAATGGAATTTCAAAATGAAAAGCTAAATGTGAACTTACATATACTCCACTTCAGGTGAGAAGAGGTCTTAGGAAAACAAACATAGCTTATGCATTTGTGTGCTCAACTAACACTCTGCACTGTTCTGATTCAATGTTATATCACAAAGACACAGTAGGTGCTTAATAACCTGTCCATGAGCAGAGCTGTAATTTACATACTGTTTAAATGCCAGGTAAGCAAAAGAGAGATATCAGGCTATTGTCAACTTTCTCTGGGGGATGTTTAGAGTGAAAACAAGGGTCTAAAGTGTATACTGTACACTGACTTTGATGGGAATTGGGGCAAAGGCTACTGGGTAATAGTGTCTTGTTTTGGTTGAGTTTAATAGTAGAAGACAATGGCTGATCTGAAGATACTTGGAGTAGGTGATGGGAATGTAGGATACCTCTGTTTTCAACACCAAATACATTCTGAAAACCCCCAACTCTCCTTCCCTGAGCCACCCGCCCCAGTGTAACCTTCCCCTTGTACCTTTAAGACAACTGCAAGGATGAGCTGTTGGACCCCAAATCTTCATTTTCTTGACTCTCTCCCACACTCCCATCTTCAAGAAGGAAGCCATGCTGGAGTCCACTGCTTTGTTCTGAAGTTGTAATGTGCTGTTAGATTCCTGGCACTGTAATGAGATCCCAGAGAAAGGAACTTACAAGGAGAAAGCGCTGATCTGAGCTCATGGATTCAAAGGCTAAGTCCTGATGAGTCAGCTCACTGCTGTGGACCTATGTTGAGGCCACACATTCACAGCAGAAAGGCATGATGGAGCCAGACTTCTTACACTGTACCAGGTAACAAAGAAGAGACCAGAGACCCACAAAATCCTTTGAGGCCACAACACTAATGACCTCTAGGCCCTAGTTCTCACAGGTTCTGTGACCTTCCAATAGTACCACCTCGAGGGCCAATCTTTTAGAAGAGGCCTTTGGAGTAATGTCAAATTACAAGTCTGTAAATGCTTTGTTTTGTTTCTACATTTTTCTTTTGTCACAGTTTATTATTATTATTTTTAAAGTTGCTTTATAGTTTTCAGCCTGGCATACAGAGTCACCCCTGAGAAGTAAACACTGACCAATTTGAAAAATCAGTGACTTCTAATTCAATCTGAGGTTCCAGAGAAAAATGCTAACCCCCAAATTGGAGACAGTCGGGAAGATAGAGAGAATGACTGTCCATAGCAGAGACCTCTGGGAAACACTTTCACAGTAGGAAAGCCCAGGCTAGGAAGAACTAGGAGAGTACAGTCAGCTGGAGCCCCAAGCTGTTGAGATGTCTCTCCTTGGCTTCGTCAAGGTCCAGAGCCTATACTAGAGATAAATCTTCCTTGGGCTTCTGGCAGGGGAAGAGAAAGTAAGCCCTGTGAAATATGCCAGAACATTCTATTCCATTCTGCTCCTACTAAGATCTGCCCAGTAGAAGAGCTTCTTAATCTAGTGTGACCTGCAAGGTCCCCAGGGTCAGGGTCATCCAAGCTCCTACAACACCCAGCTCTGGCCATCCTGGCCCACTAAGCAGAGACGGCTGGGAGGTGCAGGGCTGAGGGCTCACTAAAGGCTGCAGCGTGCTTCCCCTCCTCTCCACACACCCCTGCAGGCTACATTCTTGTTACCAGCTCTTCCCCCAGCCGTCAGAAGGAAATTACAAAGCACAGTAAGGAGAAAAGCCCACTTTGACTAGCGAGAGCTGGGGCCGAATGCAGACAGCAAGGCAGACCTTTAAAGCAGGGGGAGCTACTGTGGCTTGAGTGGTCCTGTCACTTCCAAAGCGGGTGTGTTGGAAACTCAGTCCTCAATGCAACAGCATTTGGAGGTGGATCTGAATGGGGAGAGGTCACGAATGGATTAATGTTGCTATAAAAAGAGCTTGAAGGAGTGGGTGCTTCTTCTCCCTCTCTGCCATGTGAGGACAGAGCATGAAGGCCTTCATCAGCCTCCAGAACTATGGAAGTAAATCCTCTTCCTTCCAATTACTCATCCTGTCACCCTGTTATAGCAACACAGGTCAACTAAGACACCACACAGGAAACAACTCCAGTGGAGAAAGAAGAGGGTGCGGGAGGACAGAAGAGAAATACCAGCAGAGAGGAAAATGCAAAGAGGAACCAAATACACGATGCTAGAGATCCAACAGAAAGGGAGGTGTTTTTACTGTGTGGATCCCACTGAGGAAAGCCTCTTGGAGTAAGGACACACTGCCATTTAAACTGCCCAAACTGAAGCACATGGAAAAATGACTAAAAAACAAATAAAAAAGGTTAACTGCTTGGGCATGAATCCCAACACTCAGAAGGCAGAGGTAGGCGGGTTTCTGTGAGTTTCAGACCAGCCAGCACAATATAGTGAGACCATGTCTTTAAAAAAAAAAAAAAAAGCTAAAAGAAATACTACACAGACCATAGAGAACATGGAGAGATGTCTAGGTAGAAAACTTGGATCTACAGATTTTAAAAAAGAAAGAATACTGGAGAGGAGGAAGTGAGGCTGACAGAGGACAGAAGACACCGATACAAGAGTGACTTGATGCCTGGGTTACTGGGGCAGGAGAGATGCCTTGAGTCACAGTGAAGGCTGAGGAAGAGGGCTCAGAGGAGAAAGAGGAAAGCAGGAAAGTTACACACCTATACCCAGGCAATGGAGAGTGCCAAGGTGGAGGGCAGTGTGCCAGGGGCAAGCATCTTTGAGGACCAAGATGAAGTCCAGCAGTAGAAGCCAGAGACACTGTGATGTGCACACAGAGGTTAAGTGGGATGAGAGCTGTAGGCTACAAGCTGTCAAAAAGCCCCTTGGATTGCTAAACAACATGATAGGATGAGATCATGGAGACAGCTGGAGACAGCCGATAGGAAGACGACATGTCCACAGCCTGTCCACAGCTTCCCAAAAGGCAGAAAGCTAAGGAGGTAAACATTCCCCATGCACCAGAGGGGTTAAATCAGACTGGGAGGAACTGTTTAAAAGTGAATGGAGTACTTTAAAATATAGAAGAAAAGTAGGAAATTAGGATAAACCAAGCAATTGGCTGGTCAGAGGGGAGCCCATTTCTATGAAAATGTGCCACAGTTGTAGAGCTACTGGAATCAATATTATTACTAAATATAAAATCACAAGTATCTTAATGTTATTGTATTTTATAACCACTTTGAGTAAGTCTGTGACTCATATAAATTCAGAAACAACTCAGCCATTCTGAAGACAGACTTGTAATACCAGATAGTAAAAGGCTGAGGCAGGAGGACTCCAAGTCCCGGGACAACCTGAGAACTCTGTGTTCAACTTTAAAACATAAAGCGGGCTGGGAATATATCTTAGTGGCAGAGTGCTTGCCTAGTATATATTGGGGAGGGGATGTTCAAATTCTTCTTAAAGGGGCCTATACCACAACACAGCTCCCCAAATAGATGGAGTGTAGCAAAGGCCCTCAAGCACTTTCTTCTGACCTTGCACTTACAAATAGTGATATGTACACACTTACCCCAAACCATTTCTTTCCTTTTTTCCTTCAAGACAGCTCTGGCTGCCCTGGGACTCACTCTGTAGACCAAGCTAGCCTCAAACTCAGACCTGCCTGCTTCTGCCTCCTGCTGGGATTAAGGGCGTGCATCACCATGCCCAGGCCAAAGCAATTTCTTAATAAGGACATTGGCTCAATATAGTCTTACCAAGTTACTCTCTACCTTCTTCTCTGGGCAATTTTGGTTTTAATTTTGAAGATCTTTCCAAAGAACTTACATTTCTTGGCTACTTTAAGTCTGCAATGAACTACAATTTGAAACGTACTAGAGTTTTACAGATTAGGTATTTAAGATACCAGACAAGTACAAAATTTTCCTTAACAAATACGAAGGAGGAATTGGACTGAACCTCCTGACCTGAAAGTCTTACAAGTGTGTTTTATGAGAACAAGCTTGTATCTGATTTGCACTCAGCCCCAAAGCTCTTCTTCTTCACTGTGGCCTGGGAGGGAGCCCAAGGCCTCCCGGAGGCTAGGTGAGTGTCTCCTGCATTGCTCTACCTCAGGCTCACAAACCCACGCCTATAAATTCTTTTCAAGGACACCTCATTTCTGATGAGTTCAGAGAAACACAACGAGCTGTTCAATAGACAGCTGTCCGGGCAGACGCGTTCATCCTTCAAGAAATTGTAGCTAGACCCGACCTCACTCTGGTAACCTGCAGCCTAACTCCAGTGTGTGTCCCTCTTCGCAGCCACTGTCCTGCTTTGTGTCCTGCTTCCCCAGGTCACGTGCATCTCCTTCAGGACACAAGCCTGACTGGCACTTGGTCTCTGCTTCACAGCATTCATCACTGGTGTCTGTCTCCTGAATCTGAGTTCTAATGATGTACCACTGTGTGGGCTCCTTGTGTGACTTTTTCCTTATCTTTACACCCCAGTCTAGAAGCGTGAGTTAGGGGCAGGGCACTGTGATGTCTTCTTTATTGTCAGAGTCCCAGTGCCTCAAAGCACTATGACACTGGATAGACACTCCAATACATTTTTCACAAATCAATGACGGCATAGCTTTATAGGGCTTGTGTATACATCTCATCTTTTAGCTTGTCATTTATTAGAGGAAAAAGCATTGAATTATCTTATTCTTTTTACATAATGATAATTATGACCACATTAGGCTAAAGATAAAGCCACTGAAAGACAGGGGTAGCCTAAGTCTAGTTCCTTACTCAATAAAGTTAGAGATTTATAATTTGGATTATAGATGGGATCACTGGGTCCAATTAATTACACTCAATGTTTCTTAGAAAGAAAAAGATTGGGCTGGGCATGGTGAAGCATGCCTTTAATTCTAGCATTTGGGAGGCAGAGGCAGGCAGAGTTCTAGGCCAGCTTGGTCTACAGAGCGAGTTCCAGAGCCAGGACAGCCAGGTGTCACATTGTTGTATCTTATGTAAGGAATTACATCTTATGAAAGGAAATCAGAATAAAAACACTCCTTAAAATTCCTTTCTATGAGTCTTCCTAAAATATCACATGGCTTTCCAAGACATATCTTGTCTCAGTAAGTAAAATGTAAATGTAACTCAGTATAATCCCATAAGGGCTGGGTAGGAATCAGGGCTGTTTTTCCCATTAAGCATTGTGTAAAGTAGCTACATTATTTAGGGGCCATATACTCAAAAAGGATTACTTTTTGCTTTTTAGTTCTTTTTTTCTCTAATTAAGTGCACAAGATTAATTAAAAGCACTTTCTGTAACCGCTAATGTGACACCATGTAGGTAATTCTGCAGGTGAGATGGAGTGGCCAAAATGTCCATCTATAGATCCAGAAGTCACAGTGCAGTCTTGATGTCCAGTCTCTGTCAAACCTGGAAAACTGCCTCAAATTTTCCTGAGTAAACTGTGAGCTTCACGGCAACAATGTGTATACTTTTCCACACCCAGGAAATTTACCAAGAAGAGAGATAATCTAAAAAGTATTCCTCTAAACATGAATGAACAAAACCCAGATTCTGAAACAATGTGATCTTCTATTTAACTACGAATAATTTAAGATAGCTTATATGTTTTAAAATCATTAACTAATGTAGTTGTTATAAGAATTCCAAAAAAATGTAGATATCCTCCTTGCTTTTGTTCTCTCTGCAAAAATCAATTACAGTCTGTAAAATAATCACCTATTGATAGAGGTATGCTCCACAATTCCACTAGTGGCCACCCATCCCACGAAAATAAGCTTCTCTTCACACACACACACACACACACACACACACACACACACACACACACACTGCCACATGACTATGTACAGCAGCAGCTTTACCTGTCATAGTCAAAGCCGGAAAGAACTCTGAGGCCCCAACCACGTGGGGTTAAACTGCAGCACTCCTATGCTTTGAGGTGCTACTGAAGGGGAGGTAGTTAAAATAGACACACACAACATGAAACGTCCTAAAACAAGCCAATCCCAAAGATTACCTGCTGTCCTTAGACAACATTCATAGGAATAGAGGGCAGACTAATGGCTGAAGCAGCTGTGTGTGTGTGTGTGTGTGTGTGTGTGTGTGTGTGTGTGTGTGTGTGTGTCCACAAAGGGGAAAGAGGAAGTCTCTGTGGTGATGGAAATGTTCCTATCTTGATTATTCAACATCAATATCCAGGTTGTAACATTAAATATACTGCAAAGTACTACTGGGAAAACTGGAGAAAGGGTTCAAGGACACGTCTAACATTTTATACAACTGCCTTTGGTTCTAAAATTATCTCAAAATATAACATTTAATTAAAAATAAAATTAAGAAGGGGAACCAGGTGTGATAGCACTCAAGAGACAAAGGCAGACAGATGTCTGTGAGTTTGAGGCTGGCCTGTTCTATATAGAGAGTTCCAGAACAGTCAGGTATATATGAAAACACTATGTTAAAAAAAATCACCCCCCAAACCAAAAACAAATAAAGTACAGACTGGGCCACTCACACAAAACCCAGAGCTATTTCTGCACCTGTTGGCATCTTTCAATCTCCCTGGTTCCTTGCCTGGGGGTGATCTCTAGGTAGACACACACTTTTTAGGGTCCTGCCACTGGGGTAGGAGACTAATCCTTCCCTTTCTACTGATGCTACAAAGGCTCTTGCGATGGATTCCCAGACAGCAGAGAAGTAGGTCACGACTTCCCAAAGGTCGAAGGGATGATAGTTTTCTTTACACAAATCTGATCTTCTCCCCCACACACAATGAAGCCCCTACCAGGAGAGGCAATTTTCTTCCAGAATCTGAATGGCACTGATGTATTTGTTTAGGAGGAAATGTTCTACTGGGGGTGTAGGGGACTAATACAGACAATTAAACAGTATATGTGGATGCCTGTCATCTTTTTTCTCCCATAAGTATAATAAAGGCAGGTTAGAAAGTGATTTGGAATCTAATGATATCTGATTGCTAGAAGAATCATAACAGCAAAAGAATTTACAAAACTTTTTCAATCATCAATATTCATTCAATCAAATAAAGACATTTTAGAAAAAAACAACATAAAATATTTTTTATTTTCTCTATTCTTTGATTAAAGCAGCAAACATTCAACAATCCTCTGTAATATTAAACATTTTCAATAAAACTAGTGATATAGAAGTGTTCACCTCCCACACAGGACTGAGGACTCACGCTAGGAGAATACTGTAGTCTAGACACAGCTACCCCCAAGCACGCCAGCTTCACTGAGTGCCCACATGCTCCATGTCCTTTGCATCTAGATGGAGACAGATCTCAGGAAACCCAAGAACATTGGCTGAGTCTAAAAATAATAATTATTTGTCATGATCATTGTCAGTCCTTAATATCTTGTACACCACTGATTACAACTTAACTTGGCCATGCTGCTTCATGCTTGGGAGAAGACAAACCACTAATCAATTGTGGACACTAATTGAAAATGCTACCTTGTAGAGGCATTTTAATAACTTAGTAATGGGGTGAAGTGTTCCCTCTAACTGATACTTTAAATGGTTTCAATAACAAAAATGTCAGCCAGGGTGCGCACAGCCTTTGCAAACATGAAAAGCTGCAGTCTGAGTGAGTGGCCAAACCTCCCCTGGAAGGGGCAGTACAGTTCTGCAAGTGGCGGAGGTCAGATGGAAAATAGAATTATATGCTAATTTGTTCCTATATTAAGTTATCATAGAAGGTCAGGTGAAACACAGTAAAGTGAATTCTGGAAAAAGATTGCTATGGACCATGGCAGAGTAAACTTTGTCTTAATACAAACAAGAAAGCTTTTAAAAGCAGGGTCTTTCTTCCTTTATTATTTCTAGCTAGACCTAGTTAATCACATACGTAATTTACAAACAAAAGTGTTTTCTACAAATAGTTCTTCTCTAAAGAACTGGGACAGGATTTTAAGAGAGAAAAGAAATAGAGAACGGTCTAATATTCAAGGGAATAATTTTCTTCAAAAAAAACAAAACAAAACAAAACAAACTTGACTTTAATTATTTAAATTAATTTACAAAGATAATTCTCCCTGCACTGTTGAATGAAAAGATACACACTAAGTGATGGGGTCCTAAGTTACTACTATAATGCTTTATTTTTTCCCAAATAAACTAAACAACAATAGAGGTGTTTCTGCTTAACACAGTGTGGTCTGAAAAAGATACCTTATTTCAAAATCTATTGAGGGAAAACTGTATTTTTGTCCTTAAAAGATAAAATTCCGTGGCTATTACACTAACTTAAAAACTATAAATGCAATATAGATGGCTGAAGACTCTAGGATACTGGTTTCAATGGCACATCCCTCATATTTATTTCCAAAGTCCACTTAGAGGAAGGACTTGGGGTGGGGGTGGGGGGGCGTGTAGAGATGAACCCTTGGGCAGAGGAAGTCAAAGATACAGCTTTTCACAATGTATCCCGTTTACTGCAGGGCACAACAAAACAAGTGACCGAGGCCACCTGTGCCACACCTTCGGCAGTACCTGGGGACAACGTGAAACCACAATTCTGTGTTGGTCCTTTTCTCCACTTAGATACTCATTGCATTGTCAATTTCTTCTCCACATGTCCAGGGCCAGCTCATAAGGGAGTAAGCACAGTTGGCCAAACTTCCCTCAAATCAGCTCATTTTTAATTTCTAAAAAGATTTTACATATTGATTTTATGACTTAGTTGCCATAAAATGGGCTGTTTCCATGAAATATCATTGTGTTATCATCATCTTTGAATGTGTCTTTCCCAGGTAAATGTCACCAGCTTAATTCACAACACTTTCTCCTGCCACGGGAGCCATGGGAATATGAGTTAGACCTAAAATTTTCACACATTCTGATGTATAAATACATGGGTATTTATTTCTTCTTCGAAGGGTTTTATGTATTGACATCTTAGTCCATAAAAAGGCCAAGATCACAGGAAAGAAAGGAACAAAATCTGGCAAAAATGAAGGCCTGCACTGGTGTCTAAAAACCAGCACTCAGGGGATTAATCGTCACAGTGTCAAGACAGAGGTGGCCTGCCATGAAACACTGCACATCAAATACTACAACAACCCATGTGAAATGTCTTAATACACCCCATGTCATCTATAAATGGCTGTCTGTACACCTTTATTTTAATGTGGAAACTGTTCAAATATTAAGCCAGTTAAAGACCGCATCAGACAAATCAGCACCTAGTCTATGACTAAAATGAAGGCTCAAGATAAGATGAGAAGAACCCTTAAAACCAAGGACCCGGCCTCGAGACCCCAGTTATCACAGCGACATCGTCATTCTGGTGGGCTGCTTATGAAAACTGCATTTCCCTAGCTAGCTGGGGAGAATGAAAAGCTTCTTACAACCAACTAAAAAGAAAGTCTCTTCCGTGCCCCTTGAAAAAGCTCATTTTCACATTACTCAGGCTTCATTATGCTAAATCAATATTCGTTTAGTCACTGGGGTTATTGACATATTTTAAAATAAAAGTATACCCTTCAGCTACTGCACTCATTACAGGTAATTTGTCTTGTCAGAGAGCAGGGAATATTATCTTAGTCTTTCAGGGGCTGACAGCCCATGGAAATACCTCCCCATGGTTACAACTGTAAATAATTTTAAGGTAAAATATTGAAAAATCAATGACTGCTTCCTGCAATCTGTCACAAACAAATCAATCATCATCTGTCCTGCCATCGAGTATGATTTGAAGGAGATGGGAGCAGATGTAATTCCTGGCTGGAGTCTCTCATCTCAAATCACTTCACATAATGGTGTCATCATTTAAACACTTAACAGTCAGGGCAACAGCCGCTGTAACATTGAGATGGACAAAACCACGAGGAGGAGGAGGAGGAGAAAATGCCATCACTATTATGTTAATAAACATTTAATTGAAATGGTTGGTGCATTAGTAAATTTCCGTTGTGAACAGTTTTACCTGCCCCTTTCACAGCTCGAAATTAATCAAGGCTGCTTTCCCATGTCCTGACGGGTAGGAAGTTAGCCTATGACTCGAACTGTACTCTCTAAAACACTTGTGCTTTTTACTTAAAAAAAAAAAATTATAAAAAAACAAATTTTGGAATTAACAAATAAGACACATGGATTCCAGAATATTCTACAACTCGATCCCTATAACAATGACAAAAAATAGAATTATATAAGTCAAGATCATAATTTCATGACCTAAAAAATTGGCAGAAAGGTCTCGGATGCCCAAAGGTTGAATTGTACATTTTCCTTCTATTAATAAATATATTTCAACTTTGTAATGTTGCAGCGTTCTAAATGACCAGTGAGACCTAGTCAGCTTAAAAACATGCCGTATTCTAAACAAAAGCTGTACCATCAACTGCTGTATTAAAAGCAAGAGTCATAACCCAACCATGCCAGGTGGGAAGTCAGTCATGGTCACGATGCCGAATCGCTGCGCCAATGCAAACTGCGTTCCAAGTGAGCACTCTGCTCTCAGCATTTTCTGACTACACTGTAATGGTTCCCCAGCTGCTGACACCCTGCGAGAAGACATGGAGAAAGGCATTTGAGAATAATATTCCTCCCTCTGCTCCAGGGCTCCCCCAACATCACTGAACTTCCAGACTACCCGGAGTCTTTTCTGAAGGTTTGTGATTGTAAATGTGCTCTAGTACCTTTAATGGAAGAAATCAATTTGAGCTACCACATTTCTTACCATTTTCCTAATTATATAATTACCATCAAGCCCTTTACTGTTTTATTAATGTCCCTTACTAGATATAGGTCAGGGGCTAGAAATTTGTGATGACAGGGAAAATGTTGCCTTTCTTAAAAAGAAAAACAAACAGATATAAATACTATTAAACGATTGAGGTCTGTGTCAACATTCCCAGACAAAGTAATTGCTCTCCTGAATGGCCTGATTTATAACTGAACCTTCTTGGTCAACGTAGTAACTAACACAGGGCCAGATGACGGAGCCTCTCCTGAAGATATAGTTGGAGGCCAATGTTGTTTTTCAGGAATCTTAGATTTCAGTGCCAGCAGCAGGTTTGAAGACAAAAATGCACATGGGTAAATTATCAGCGATGCCATCCAGAATGCAGCGAGCCTTCTGTTCTGTGTGAGCCCCTGCAACAGCTGCAGAGTACACAGTAGCCAACCTAGTAGAGTGGGAAGGGAAAAGCCTGGCCAGGGTTTCTGAAAGCCAACAGAGCTCGGGCTGGAACCAGGCAAAGAAACCATGGCCCACTATCTCTAGTCAGCCTCTCACTGGGTCTCTGCATCCCAGGGACAACCTGCAAGTCTGCCCCTGTGCTGGGCTGGTGGTGGTGGGGTTGCTGGTGGTCAGCCACCATGGAGAACACAGCCCTAGGTAAATGCACCAAAGGATTAGGAGGTAAATGAGGACAGTTGGACAACAGGCTGAGCTCATGTCAACCCCAAACTGAAATGTCATCTGCTAGAGCTGTGGAGGACGCCATCGCAGATCTAATTCGCAGAAAGAGGCTATTTTAAGGGTGCTGAGTAGGCCGAAATGCTATTTCTCAGCTCTCTAAACACAGCCTGTGGCCCTGGGAGAAGCAGGCTCAGAAAGTTAGCAGCGAAAAACAGGATGGTCCCCATAGCTCAAAATGAAAGAAACTGTGGTCCATTGGACAGAGTTGTCATGTATGATAAAGGTTCAGGGCTGCAGAGAAAAGTGCTCTTGACGATAGATAGTATTACCTCCCTGTCTTCCGAATCACCTTCTTCCACGGGCAGTCCGGAGCTCCATTACCAACTGCGATTCTTAAAGAGAAAACGGCCACAGTTAGCTTCATCTTTCCTACCACTTCCTTCCTTCATGGAATTACAATTTAATTACTGATACCTCAATTGATTTTATTCGTGGATGATGCATTTCTTAAAAAGCACACTCCTTAGCTATCTCCACTAAAGAACATTTAGTACAACCTTCTCAATTAATCAGCCATAACCCATTACTTCAAAAAGGATGGCTCTTGATATTTTCAAGAGTGCCCCCCACTGCAAATATTTCATATAAGACGAAGAGTTCTAATGCATTTGAATACCTTTAATGAAACTTGAGTCGTGATAGTAAATCCAGCTCACAAAAGATATGAAACTTGATAAACCTGAATGCTTAAATATTTCATTCATATGTATCTGCCCCAATATTTATGCTTAGGAGAATAAAAAAACAAAAACAAACCTCAATCCTCTTCTGTTTAAATTCAACAACTCTATCATGGCTTAAATCAGAACAGACCCCTAAGCTTAAAGGTAAACAAAGAGGAATCCTATTTGTGCCTGCCTACCATTTTCTTTATATTTGTGCTGAGCTTCTAGCTTGCTGTAATGCTTTAGCCTGAGTTTCCATAGGTTCCGATCTATATGGGGAACACACGTCTATTATTTACAAACAATTAAATAGTATTTCACATTACAGAAAGGGCACACTAATGCCTACGACAATTCATAGAGAAGCATTTGTTCTAGCAAAGGCTAGACTAACCAGACTGCCTTCGGTAAAATTATCTTATGGGTGCGGGGTCAGCCACCAACTTTATTGATAATAAATGTTGTAATTTACTAAGTCCAGTTCCTTGCTCTATTCCTTAGAGAGCACAAATATTCTGCAAAGTAATTCTTTCTCAAAGCCTTTCTTCTTCACCTATACCCAGAGCCCTGTTTTTAATAACAATGACAGGTTTTGCATACACCTGTATATTTTCTTAAGAGCTTGATACCAATGGCTGAAGAAAGTGCTAAATTTATTCTTAAAAGAACCAGATCATAAAAATAATTCCAAAATGTGATTTGTTGTAACTATTATGTCCTTTAAATAGTAATTTAATTCTATTAAATATCACAACCTTGGTCTTGATTTTATTTGTAAAAACATGTTTACAAGTCTTACTATCCAATGATACAATTCAAATAAATCATTCAATGAAAATCCAAAAAAAATGATAAAGACATTCCACAAATTGACAATTTTTAAATTTACCAAATTCCTGTTTAGTGCACTAACAGAATTCTAATAATCAAAGATCTCAAGTGGCATTCGTCCACCACCCACACTTAGCATCTATTACTAACAATGTATACTTTGCTGACGCCACGTTGGTGCTATTTGGGAGCGTCACATACAGGCACACCCAAAGCATGCAGGTAAGTCTTGGTATGTGCAAGAACACATTTCAGTCCATATGTGAAATAACACCATATTTTGGAAGTAAATTTAACTTAAATATCCAAATATATTATACAAACATTGTACTTGTCACCTGTACAGGAAATAGAAAAGACTCTGTGTAAGAGAACACAGAATACTAGCAATACTTTGGGGATATTAGATATGAACGTCTAATCCAATTTTCTCCAAGGTATCACTCCTTATTATGGTAAATAAACAAATAAGAGCTGTATCAAGGTGTGGAATATCATTAGCCTGAGAAGAGGCTGGAAAACGGATTATACAAATGACAACTGCAGGAGAAAATGATATTCTCCTTTCCTGAACAAACGTTAAGTGCATCCTCGCTAATAAAGACTTACACTCAAACTATGTTACAATATACTGGTTTTCAATTTTGAAGCATCTAAGTTGATTTGCAAGCTAAATTGCTGCTGAGGTGTACTAGAGCTATGAAAACACAGCCAATTTATACAGAAATAAGTCATCAGTGTTGCACTTCCGAGGAGAGCTGTGAAAGCAAACTAGTCATTACAGAACAAGGAAAAAAAATCACCCCTAGGTTTTACATGTTCATAGAGATGTGTCAGCTGCTGTTCTGTTAAGAAAAACTATTCTCTACCCAAACGATATTAAAAACAGAGGCTAATGCACTGTAGAAACTGAAGAGGAATAGATGAAGAGAGACATGCTACCACTCAAAGCAGGTGGTGCTATTTCAGAATTAAAATGTTCCAACTATGGCACTGTGCTCATAATCTATTTTAAACAACCCATTCAATTCACAAAGGATTACATGATTTCATTCATTTCCAGCTCATCAACTAAAGAACATTTTAATCTTTCCTAAGATTTCTAGAACATATAAACATTCATAATTGTATTATTAATTAAAATGGATAATTCATTTGTATTAATATTCCATATCTTTTAACACTATATATTCAATTTTAAAATAACACATGCATAGCAGCATAAAAGATAGGGACTGTAGCTGCCAGAGAAAAACATTCGATGGAGGGTCTGGGGGAATAATAAAGCAATTATCTCAAAATTAACGCTCTTGTTTCAGTTTCAGCAAACAAATCTAAGTAAGTCTTCCTTTGATTCTAGTTCCCCGTGTAATTCTAACCAGCTAATTATCCTTGAAGTCAAGAATGAGCCATGACTCTACACCTGGCCCTTCCCATCATATGCCCACGGTCCCCTCCACTTTCATTTCCTCTTTCTACCCTGAGGTTTAATATTGAAGGAAAGCACGGCCACATCTTACACAAATGCTGATTGACAGCCAGCTTCCAGGAAATGTTGAGCTACAAAGAGGAGGGGAATTTTAATGTAGCACTTACGTTCAAGGGTACGAGGTTCAGGGTAAGCCAAGGGCAAGTGGCCGCCAGCATCCCCCATGTCATTGTTTTCACACTGAGGGATCCTAGCTAAGGATGGTGATACTATTTTAACCATTACCCAGGTCATAAATTGGATTCTAAACTAATACTGTATCATCATTTGCTCACCAGTTAAAATATATAAATATAGTATTTTGGAAGGAGTAAAAGTTTCCCTCTATTTCTACAAATGAAAACGCCGTTCCATAATCATTGTAGCTATGTACTTGCTGATATGAAAACAGAATTGTTTTAGCTCATGAAGACACTTGGGGAGACGGCTTCCTTCCCCAAACCTTAAAAGGCATACATTTCTCATCTATTACCTTTTCCTTAGATCCCTTTTCCTTGCACACTGAACGTGTCTTCCTCAACTGACTGGTTTTGACCACTAATGAATGTCTGCCTAACAATACAGCCCTCTAGTTTATGCTTCGCTTTCGAAATTAGAAGCCATTATTCCACAGAGTACAAAGAGAGCCGACACAAGGTATTGCCAAAAAGCCACAAGTAGTATTAGAACATGCCAGAACACTTAACATTCAACTATCATTCCTCTCTAAAACTTCTGTTGCCAAACTGCTCACAAAACCTGGAGGCTCAAAGACAGGTTTCCAGTGCAATTAAATTCTCCAGAAGCAAAACTGTACAAAATTATGCCCCCTTCGTATGTCTCCATTTACAGACAACATTTTCTCTGGATCTTAATTAAGATAACGATGCACACCTGTGTCAACATTCTCCAGCAAGACAGCCTTATCAATCATAATCCTTTAAGTACACTCGAAAACAGCAAAGCGATATGACAGAAGCAATCTGTTGCCATTCCTGATGCCGGTGTTGTATCTCTGCCACAAGAAAGATGAGATCTTTAAAATCCAGCAGATCTGCTTTCCTAAGTCTTTAAAGTTTTAACTGTAAACAGCTATTACACTAAATAAACAGGCGTCCCCTCCTTTGTACTTGATAGAAACAATGACAACTCTACTTGTCCAAAACTTGAAGAGCAAGCTCCGTGCCACATCTTGGCAGAGCAATCGGAGGTCTTATTGTAAAGCTCTATGTTTTAAGAGCTAGGCACAACTGGATCCGCGCAGACATGACAAACCAATAAACCCTTGGCAAGTTTTAAAATGAAGCTTAACAAGGCTACATTAAAAACAACCAGCGTAGCCTACCCCGAGTACAACATGTTTAGTAATATAAGAATGCAGCAGTCAGGGAAATAAAAAGTCTTGGTGACTTAACGCGAGGGAAGATAGGTCCTACCTCTGCTCGTGGAAAGTGAGCTTCAGCAACAAGAGAACCGGAACTACAGCTAACAAGTGAGCAAGTCCCCAAATGGAAAAGCTGATGAACGGGAAGGAAAAGGGGTGTGTGTGTGTGTGTGTGTGTGTGTGTGTGTGTGTGTGTGTTGGGGAGGGTGTCCATCCTCCCCCAGTATTAAGGTAAAAAGTTAAACGTTATGTTTACTAAGTGAGAATACAAATGCTTTCTTATAAACAGGGAGAAAGGCCGCCAGATGCTATCCGAATTCCGTCTGCCAGCTAATGATCAGCCTTAGCCTTCCCTCACTTATTAACACAATTCTGTATCTGCCACAGGCGACTGAGGCCAGCCGAGCAGCAGAGCCATCAATGTGCAAATAAAGCAGAAAATAGAGACATCCTTAAGAAATGAGCCTTAAATTTGATGTAGAACGGAGGTGACAACCACGGAAACAGAACCATAAATTCTAAATGTTTCAATATCTTGCAGGATTCTTTCTAGTCCTTCACACGCAAAAGAAGACAGCAGTAGAAAAAATAGGGTGGGGAACGAGATGGGGAGGGGGAACAGAAACAGCCAAGACGCAGGATTATGTAATGAGGATGTCTGCGTGACAGACTCGGGCTCTCGGTGGCACAAACCTCCTTGGCTCGCTTTCAGAAGTCGTCGTCCTGGACGAGAGCCGAGACACTGATTCGGGGGGACACGCGTGGGCCCGAGGGACACGCCCACGCGCGCCTGCCTGCACGCGGACTGAAGCACCCGCATGGCATGTCCCAGGCTCTGGCAGCCCACGCGCGGGGCCCGGCCGCGTCCACGCCATCGGCTTGGTGCGCGGCTCTGCGCGGGCCGCGGACGCTCCCTCGTGGCAGGCCTCGCCGACCGTTAGCCGGGCTGAGCGGGCGGAGCCGGGGGCGGTGCGGTCGCGGGAGGCGGGGATCCTCGCGTCGGGGCGGGGACACTCCCTGCAGACACTCGAGCCTACCCGGAACCCGGAACGGTCAGCCCGAGAAGCCGTCTCAGGCCGTCGCGCGCTCCCCGGGGCTCCGGCCCCGCGCGCCGCTCCGTCTGGCTCACAGCCGCCCGCCTCAGCGGCGGACAGCTTCTGGTCTCCATGACAATACGCAGCCGAAGCCACGCCCAACCACGCCCCCTCGGCGCCGGGACTCCGAAGGAAGCGCCTGCGTCATCCAGAGGTGGGTCTAATGGAGGCCGGCGCCCAATCAGAGGCGAAGGCTGTGTAAGGGGAGGGCGGGGAGGGCCGAGAGGTTCTCGGAGAATGTAGTCCGCAGGGGTCCAAGCTCTTGGGGGCGGAACCTGTAGCCCGAGTGCCGGGCGAGGGGCAGCCTGCGCGCGTGCGTGAAGGCGCGCGGCAGAGCTGGTCCCCGTGTGGTCAGGGTGGGGTTTGTGTGTGCGGTGGACTCAGCAAACTGTGTGTCCCGCGGGTCAAAATCATTGCGCGAAACTTTGTGTGTAGTTATGCTCCAGCCTGCGCGTTGCCGGCCCGTTGTGAAAGGCCACAAAATGCTTGGGTTGTGCGCTCTGCCCGCCGCGGTCCTGGTTCACCAGCGCCCCTGTCTGTCCCTGAGCTCCAGTGCGTTTGTAATTTGCGGCGGCGGGAGGTGGAGACCAGGGGTGAGGGTCTGTTTTGCCTTCTCACTGTGTTGCCGTGTGTGTGTGGGGGGCGGGGGGGAAGAGGTCTGCCTGTGACTCAGTGTTATGTGTTTGCCTGGCCAGCGCCTCGCTGAACAAACAGCGGTTGGGTTGGACCCTGTTCTGCCCAGTGTTTGCAGTGGAACTGGGGCGGGTGCGAGCGACTGGGAAGGCGACTTAGTGGAACAAAAGGGAAGAGATCCCACACCCTCCGTCACAACAGACCTGGCAGGGCGAGCTGCCTGCCTGTAGCTAGCCATGAGAAGCAGGCAGCGCTGCGTGGGATGGCAATGGGGTCGGGGGCGACTGGGGGACCTACTCGGGTGTAACTGCTTCTCCGCCTGGCACGTCTTGCCCACTGTCTCCCTTGGTTCAGAAAAAAAGCCACACCCCCATCCGGAGCCCCCCGAGTCTCCTCTTTCGCCTCCTCTAGCCGCCTGGCAAGGGTTGGTGGAAGGAAGGCCCAGCCGGGGTCCTTCAGCCTAGGCCTGGCTCTTGCCCACCTGCTGCTGCGGCTGACACAGAGAGGCGATCATCCTGGCCTCCCTGTGCCCTGGGCGCGGGCATCCATTGGCTCTCCCTGGGACCTAAATTCCAGGTCTCTAGCTCAACCTAGAGACCTCCGGCAGGAGGGAGAAGCCGCTGTTGAGCGAGTGACGAACCACCTCCGAAGCCAGCTTTCCCGAGAACAAGACATCCGCCAACTTCGCTGTTTGCACTGGCGAGGAGGACGCTGAGCGTTCACCCAGGCACAGCCCGCTGCCTCTTTCCCTTTGTGTTCCCGAGCGGCCCGACACACGACCAGGGCTAGTCGTGCGTCGAGATTGCCGCTCCGCCCAGAGTTAGCAGAAGAGAGGAAAGTTGGAAGCGATCGGCGCGCTTGGGATGTGATTGTCATCCTGGGGCCGGCGCTCGAGAGTCTGAGAAAGAGAAGAGAGGAAGAGTCGGGGAGGGAGGAGGGGGAGGCCGGGCAGAGGAGGAGAGGGGGGCGGCGGAGGAGAGGCGGGCGCTAGGGAGGGGCGAGGGGAGCGCCAGTGAGCGGGAGAGGAGCCGGGGAGGAACAGGGAGAGGGCGAGGCGCGCCTGGCGGCCGGGTTGGCTGCGGCCGCCCAGAGGCTCCTGCCAGTCCCCCCACCGACTACACCCCGGGAAGGAGGAGCTTCGCGCGCGCACAAGGCGTCAGAATCCTCAATTTCCAACTTAGCATCTTGGCAGGACCTTTGCAAAGCCAAAAGCAGAGCCCCCCGGTGCAAAGAGCGAGGGGGGGTGGGGGGAGAGAAAGCCTAGCCCGGGCAAGCGGGGCGCGCAGAGGAGCGGGCGCGGCGGTCGCAGCCGGAGGCGCGCGGGAAGCCAACCAGGAGGCGCCGCGGGCCGGAGCCCGGGAGCCGGGGCTCGAAGAGCTGCGGCCCGGGGCAACCAGAGGCCAGGTGCCCGCTCGCTCGCCCTCGCAGGGCGCCGCCCGGCTCGTTGGCCGCCGCGGCGCGGCGCGCCCCATGCCCGTGTGTGGCCATGTCCTACCCGCAGGGCTACTTGTACCAGCCGTCCGCCTCGCTGGCGCTCTACTCGTGCCCCGCATACAGCACCAGCGTCATTTCGGGGCCCCGCACGGATGAGCTCGGCCGCTCGTCTTCGGGCTCCGCATTCTCGCCCTACGCTGGCTCCACTGCCTTCACAGCTCCCTCTCCGGGCTACAACTCGCACCTCCAGTACGGCGCCGACCCCGCGGCTGCAGCCGCCGCCGCCTTCTCGTACGTGGTGAGTGAGCTGGGTCCGCGGCGGGCGGGCAGCGGGGGCCAGGCCTGCAGACCGGGGCTGCGGGAGACATGGGCCTAGGCGCCACCTCGTCCGCTCAGCTTTGCGGCCCTTGCAAACTTGAGCAATTGTCTTGCTCGCCTTCATCCGAGCCTTGGGCTCCCGGAGTAGCTCCGGCAAGAGCCGCGTCTCGCTCGCTGGGATTGCCGATCTGAAGAACGGAAGGTTTTAGGGGGGATTGGTCCTCACTATTAAAGAGCAACATTTATTTGGCTCAAAGCTCTGGGCTAACCCTCAAATTTCTTTTTGTTTTTTTTTTCTTTTTGTTTTGCCATTTTGGAAAAGTAGTTCAAAAGAAGCAGAACCGAATTCTGAACAGTAGTAGCGTGCAAAATCTATGTAAATGTGTTTGGCCTCGCCTTTAATTAATCCTCCAAAATGTTGCAAATCCGTAATCCTATCTTCGCAATCCGATTTACAAGTATTAAATTCTGAAATGTCCAGTGAGCTGCGGTGTATCCGGGTTTTTTCGGCCGGGTGTGCTTTCTGGAAAAGCGCAACGGTTTCGGTTAGGGATAGCATTTTTGTACCGTCGGTGAGCAGACTAAAGCTCAGCTTGTCCTTAGAGTTTCTTTGAGGATTAGAGAAAGAGCCTTGACTTCCCTTATTGTACCCCCTTGCGCCCAACATGCGGCCGTCCTGGTGTAGAGCTCCGAGGCTGCTCAGGCCTCTAAGTGAACCGTGGGCCCTGCGGCAGAGGCCAGATCTGAGTAAGCCCTGGGCACGGACGTTTCCCAGCAGATGAGGGCCTCCAAGGTGGTTTGCCAAGCCCTGAACAGCCTCAGGGATCCTGAAGGGCCAGATTTAGAAATTGGGGGGCCCACTGCCTTCTGAGGAGGGGGAGGGAGTCACTCTTGTGTTTGAATCAGCCAGCTCTGTCTGCCTCAGGGGAAGCTGGAGTGCGGGCCGCTCTGACATGCAGACCCAGGGACAGAGGGAAAGTAGGTTTCAACCTTTGGGGTGGCGGTGAAGCCCACATCCCCCCACCACTCACCTAATCTCTGCCTATCCCCCCCCCCCGCAGGGCTCTCCCTACGACCACACTCCTGGTATGGCGGGTTCCTTGGGGTATCACCCTTACGCGGCCCCTCTGGGCTCCTACCCTTACGGGGACCCCGCGTACCGGAAGAACGCCACTCGGGACGCCACCGCCACGCTCAAGGCCTGGCTCAACGAGCACCGCAAGAACCCGTACCCCACCAAAGGCGAGAAGATCATGCTGGCCATCATCACTAAGATGACCCTCACCCAGGTGTCCACCTGGTTCGCCAACGCGCGCCGGCGCCTCAAGAAAGAGAACAAGATGACGTGGACGCCACGGAACCGCAGCGAGGACGAGGAGGAGGAGGAGAACATTGATCTGGAGAAGAATGACGAGGACGAGCCCCAGAAGCCCGAGGACAAGGGCGACCTCGAGGGCCCCGAAGCAGGTTGGTGGATTCGGGAAAGGGTGTGTTGAGCGGGATTTTAAAGGCAAAGGGGGCCTGGAGGGGGCGCGCACGGGTCCCTGCTTCTGCAGGCAGGAACCGGGGCCCCGCCGCGTGGCCTCCACGCCTCTGACAGCCTGGGTTTCACCCACAGGAGGAGCAGAACAGAAGGTTGCTGCGGGCTGCGAAAGGCTGCAGGGGCCGCCCAGCCCCGCCGGCAAGGAGACGGAAGGCAGCCTCAGCGACTCGGATTTTAAGGAGTCGCCCTCCGAGGGCCGCCACGATGAGCTGCCCAGGCCCCCGCGTGCGGGCGGGTCGTCCCCAGCCGGGCCCGCAACCGCGCGTCTGGCGGAGGACGCTGGTCCTCACTACCCCGCGGGCGCGCAGGCGCCTGGCCTGCACCCATCGGCCGGAGAGCTAACCCCTGGCCCGGGCGGGCCCTCAGTCATCCACTCGCCACCTCCACCTCCGCCGCCGCCCCCGGCCGTGCTCGCCAAGCCCAAACTGTGGTCTCTGGCAGAGATAGCCACTTCCTCGGACAAGGTCAAGGACGGGAGCGGAGGGAGCGAGGGCTCTCCGTGCCCACCGTGCCCCGGGCCCGTGGGCGGGCAAACCCTTGGAGGCAGCCGCGCGTCTCCTGCCCCAGCGCCCGCGCGCTCGCCCTCGGCGCAGTGTCCCTTTCCGGGCGGGACGGTACTGTCCCGGCCGCTCTACTACACCGCGCCCTTCTATCCTGGCTACACGAACTATGGCTCCTTCGGACACCTTCACGGCCACCCAGGGCCGGGCCCAGGCCCCACAGCGGGTCCTGGCTCCCATTTCAATGGATTAAACCAGACGGTGTTGAATCGAGCGGACGTTTTGGCTAAAGACCCGAAAATGTTGCGAAGCCAGTCCCAGCTAGACCTGTGCAAAGACACTCCCTATGAATTGAAGAAAGGTATGTCCGACATTTAACTCGGGTGCGGTACTCCCGGACTTTCCTAATTTATTAAAACCATGGCCTTGGCAGTTATTTTTCCATCACCGAGAGAGAAAGAGAAAGAAAAAATAAACTACCCCTCTTATTCAGAAGTTTATAGTTTATGGAGGTGGATGACATAAAAATGTATACATCTCCACACTCGAAAAAATTGTTTTAGCCAACTGAAAAGAAAAAAAAAACTTAAGAGGATTTGTATTAAATCTTATTCTGTATATTTAATGTAGCATTTTTGTATTTAAATTGATAATTCAGTATCTTTGAAGTAAATTATGAAATCAAGACACCTGTACAGGCATTTAATGTTTTTTGTAATATAAATATATACATTTGTGTTCCCCCAAACTGTTTCATAGTTTAAAAATACAAGTTTAATTTAATTTTTTACACCTATTGATTTTTTCTGGGTATGAGCTAAAGTATTATTACAGAAAGGAAACAGGTTATACTCTTAGATTTAAAAAGTAAAAGAAACTGCAGTGGTCTTTGTAAAATGCAAAATATTTAATTAAAGGAGATTTTAACATAATCAGAGCCACTCATTACTTCTCAGAAGCCTCAATAAATTGTCACTTGCCTTGGTCAAAAGGTGCAACTGGAACTTTTTTCAAAGTGGGGAATGAAAGGTGTCGGCAGACTCTCAGTGTGCCTGGGGGAACCGTGCTTAGGCCACAAACCCGGGGAAGCGGCCCGGTCTGGGAACACAGATTTGGATCTCCGTAGCGGGCTGCTTGATGGGGAGTGCATCCTCCAGGAGGAGCGAGAAGAGAGCCCCAAGTGTGTGCCAGAAGGGAGAAAAGATGGCAAACCAAGGCAGAGACGCGCACCACTCGAGAGCCTTCGCTTAACCTAATTACTTCCAATCAGTGTCGTGTTTTATGCAAAGCAATCAGCTGGTGAACTTTGCTAATGAGTTCGATTTTATGCCGGATTTAGCCCTTATTACTATTTCAAAGGTGCTGTTAGCTAATGCGGGCAAGGAGCGTTAGGGGATGCCAAATGGGAAGGCTTCCCCAAGTCACAGTCTCCTCTACCCCTTCAAAATTGGGCATTGATCTCTTCTTTGGATTTGATTAAATCAGTGACTGTTCCATCCGCGACCGTGAGGGTGGCCTGCGGCCTTGTGGATGCAGGCGCAGCCTCCCGGCAGGGACCACAAACCCGCAACTCGACGGTTCCCCCCTTTCACAGGTAGGTGTCACACTTGTCCTGAATTTCGAGCCTGCTTTTTGCAGCGTCTGAGATGGGAGCATGGGCCGAAGAGGGGTGGGAGGCGGAGGGGGCATCGCAGTCACCAGCGGCAGTGAACAGAGCCCCAAAGGGAGTCGGAGGCCCCTCCCCCCATGGGCTCCTTTTTGGATAAGTGGCTTCAAAAGCTCCAGGCCATTTGCGTAGATAAAGAGGCCATTGTGGACTTGATGAGGCTTGTCATCGCTTTAGCACTTTTCCCAGCTCAGATTGCTACAAAAGTGTTTTTGAGGGTTTATTTTTCTCGTTTTAGTCCGCTTTATTTCAGCCCAGTGAAAACTTGTGATTCATCTCGGTACCAAATGAGCAAGGGACAGCACCCCAGCGCCACCACCCACCAACCCCGGGGTTCTGTCTTAGTTACCCTGTCTCCATTTTGCACCTGAGATGTGGAGTCGCCAACCCTTTTACTTCATGGAATTTTTTCTGTGGCGTTGGGGACGTGGGATTGGGGGAAGGCTACGCTACAGGAAAAACATACCCCAGCGAGGGGAATTAATTTGATTGAGTGTAGGGATAGAACGTGTTTGCACACAACGGCAGCATAATTAGACTAAAGCAGAACAGACATATTTGCATTTCTCCTCCATTAGTTTTGCCTACTCGGGTTTTAAAAGCACACCCCAAACTTTTATCCTGTTGTAGCTTTTACTAGTCCCCCCCCCCAAACCTGCAACAGGACTCATTTCGCTTATCCGAATTGAAACAAGTTTGAAAGCTACATTAGCCAGAGGCTTTAAGCAGCAGTGATGAAAAAAAAAAAAAATCGAAGTTCAAAACAGAAAATTTTCACAGGGAAAATGGTTATAAAGCTAGTAGTGTGAACAATTAAACAAGCATACATGTAACGATCGTATTTTATTTTGTCCCTTTAATTATAAATGATTTTTAAAAAACAATTGCATTCCAGAGATGACTTGCCCTGCCCCCTCCCCTTCACGCCCCCTCTCCCCAGCCTAGTTCACAATCGGCTCCCCCCACCGCCATGCTTATGCAACCCCAGGAGTCATCTTCTTTTCTGAAAAGTCTGAAGAATAGGCAG